GAGTCCTCTCTATGGACAGGGGAAGGGGGAGGTTTCAGGACAGGAGAGGGAGACTGATGAAGAAGGGGCAGACGTCTTTGTGTTTCAGTGAATATTCTGCAGACAAAAAAAAGTTGGAAGTCAAATTATACTGACCCAGAGAAGAAAAAAAAAAAATCCTTTTCATTCTGCCATTTCTTTTTACCAGCATGGCCAAAGTTACAAACCTGGGCAGTAAGCAGCTGAGCAGTCAGCGATTGAATAGACAGTCCATTCATTGTCTTACAGACAAATTTTATTGAATACATGCAAACTAGGCAAAGCTGCTAAGCAGTGATGTCCAGGCTCCAAAAACAAGATCTCACCAATCCGTTGGCCAGACGTCCTGGGAGTCTTGGGAACCTGGAGATGGTTGCTGCAAAGGTCCATGTGGATTCAGCTCCTTCAAGTCCAAGGTTTCCTTTCCTGGTCATCTTTTATTGTCTTTCGAAGGCTTTGAGGCTGGTAACACCTCTGCCATCGTCAGTGGCTGCTTTTCCTAGCTCAGGTGTTACATTCCTTTCTATTTCCTTCCAAAGACACTGTCCTTGGCTTTCCTTATCCTCTTCTGCTCTGTTTAAGGAGTCTTAAATCACACAAGAGCAGCATCTTCTTATGATCATTTGGGGGTGGGATGTTCAATCACATGTTACTTATGCTAACTGTCACTCATGCCAACTGCAGGCTGCTTGGCCTACACTCCCCTCCTGGATGGCCCTCTTATAACAGAGGTGGCCATCACTCACATCAAGGTCTGGTATGGCATGTGTCCCCACCGCTCAACGCCTAATGGGTTGCAGCCAACAGCGGAGCTCAAAGTTCTTCTTGGTGGCAAACACAGAGGCCAACCCAGTCTTGCCCTTGACTATGGTAGGAGGCGCTTAGCCAGACCCAGTCCTTTTAGCTGGTTGTCAATGCAGTGTCTCACCTGCCTCATCCAGTAACAAGTCACTATCATGGCAACACACACACAGATTTGCATTAGCAGTATAACAACAACAGGATGCAACAATGCATTGAAGATGCCGGTTGCTGTGGGTGACCATCCAAAGAAAATTTCCCACCAGTGGTGTTCTCCCACCCTCTTAATTCGTTCCATTACCTGCTTTATAACATTACCGTCATGATGTACAGTTATTAGGATCTTTTTAGCTTCTGCCTTAGCGTTTTCTAAGAGCTGTTGTAAATTTGCATGCTCTAACATTTCTTTTACAAGCGACAAATCCATACCGATTGGGGTCGGGGTTATACTATGGTATAGGGTGTAGTTTCTAATTAGTAACTGAC